ATTGGAGAAGACAGTAAGGATACTGCATCTACCTTAAAATTAATTAAATAATGCACTAAAGGAAGCCCAGCAGCAAAGTCTGATTTATTCTGGAAACATCTTAGGGTATTTAGACAATAAGAGGTGAAAATGCTCTGCTCAGTTAAGACAAGCATCAGAGACAACCTCGCTTTGGAATTAGAGTCTCATGCAAAGATACAGAGAACTTATGTTTATGTAATTATTAAAATCCACTTGTAAAGGATAGAGTCTAGTCCACCTATACAGATTCTCCAAGAATGAGATGACCATGCAAATACAACAAAAAGCAACCTTCCAGGAGTGGAATAAAATGTTTATCTGGACATCTCTTTCAAATGCAAGCCCCAAAGGAAAGAACAAGCAAATCTGTGCCACCTTAGTGGAAGGAGACAAGAATGCCGACTCAGGATAACTCCCTGCAGCTCATCAGGTGTTTGAACTAAACATTAGCGAAGGAAGTTTTGATTTTCATTACTAAAAATAAACTCCAGCTTGTATGTGAGGCTTATTTTGTAGTCTTCCATAATGTCTTTTCTGCACTATTTTCTGGGAATTTTATGAGCTAACAAACTTTAAGGAGGTTCTGTCAAACTCTTAGGAAATAAAGGCACAGATCAGAAATTTCACGACCTTGTGGAAGTGGGACTTCAGGTGTGGTTTATGATCACTTTTTTATTAGTGGAAATTGAAAATAAGTCACTTTTTTTCTCATCTAACTTAAATTGAAATATGGCTCCCCTATTCTAAAATAAAAATAGCCTCACACAAGTATCAGTTACTGAGTATCACATCACTGAAGGCAAGGGAGTACAGCCCGGTGTCACCATAGAAGTGGTTTAGGTTTTGTTTGTTTTGCATGCAGATGAGGTCAAAAATACCTTTAAAAAGCTTCCCATAGGCACCCTCTGTTCCCTGAAATTAAAAACCATCAATTCAGGAGTCCAGCTGTCAGCAAAAGGCACCCTAAATCAGCAGTCCAAATTCACTATTCCCCCTCAGCTTTCGTACGCCGCTAGACTGTACCGGCCTCGCTGTGCCGCAGTCCTTCACCTCAAATTAATTTCTTCCAGTGCTCTGGCCTCACTAGTCTGCCTCTGTTTACAAGATCTGAAGTACATCTTCAGACCTAAAGAAGAAATTAAATTAGTCTGTGCAAGTTACCCTCAGACCTTCTCGAGTGAGTGAGTGAGTGAGTGAGTGAGTGAGTGAGTGAGTGAGCATCCGAGCACTATGCAGCTGTATTAGCACAAACAGGACATGAAATGCCTGTGTGCGTGGCTAGCACAGGCCTGGGGTGCGAGCCCTGGGGATGTGCTGCCCACAGGAGCTTGAAAGAAAAATGATTCCCACTCGCCTTTTGAGTTGGTTTGGGATTTTTTTACTATTTATAATTTGCTGGAGTTTAAAAATAAGCCTGTCCCCATTGCTCCTTGGGGCCTGACTCAGTACCAACATCACTGACAGAGAAGGCCATACTTAGAGGTGCTTGTCATCTTTGGGAGGAAAATCACCAGTCAAAACCAGAAGTGCCAGTGCTAGCCAGGAGGTGGCAGAGAAGCCAGGCTACCTTGTACACCAGTCTCTGCAGTTAGTTTGGCAAAAACACAAATAGAAACCGAGGAAAGACAACAAAACCCAGCCCCCACTCTCCATCTTCAGGAATAAGAGGATGAAACCCTTAATCACATTGCTGCTTGTATTTATACTAATTGCTCATCTTCCTGAGATCTGACTTTATGAAATTATGCATGCACACCAAGCAGATGAGTTTCCATAGAAACTCATGAGCTGAACTTTCATTAGAAAAATCTCTTTTTAAAAAAAAATCTTCCAGATAAAAATGCAAATTGCCTGTCAGTGGGTGGCTTTCTGAATTTATATATAATTTTTTTTCTTTTGTACTGTAGGCAGATTCCAACTGGACCTACATAGCAACAACATGCAGGCATTGTTTAGAGCAAGCCAGACTCCATGGGGAAATAAGAAATTCAGGAGCAAGGAGAAGCTCTCAAGTGCAAATACCTCAGGGAAACAGAAACTCAAGTGCTCAGTGCTGCTTCTTCCTAAGGCTTGGGGTTTGTGCAGCCTCCAGCTCTCAGAAAATGCTTGTGGCTTGCAAAGAGCAGGGTGGGGAAGAGGAGAGAGAGGAAACATAAAACAAGAAACTCTCCTGCACACAGCATTAATGATGTTCAACCTGTCCTTTAAACATCCAGCAGCATATTTCTGCCGCTTCAGTTAAGCCTCACTGAAAAGGCTGACACCATCTGTCACAGCTCACTCTGGGGCAAAGAAATAGGTCTCTGTGCTGGGGCTTGGGAACACTGGCAAGGATGGGGATTGCAGAGTGGGTTGGCCAAACCTTGACCTCCACTGGGGCTGAGGCCTGAAGCCCAGCATCATGTCCCCACACTACATGGAAATCCAGGCCAGTGTGCAAGAAGAGGGCATAGGGGCTGTTCCTGGTCAGAAGAGGGAAGCAGGGTGGTGGGCATGCCTTGGAAGGGCCACGGACTTGGGCAGCCTTTGGTACCAACAGCCGTGCATGTAAGAAAAGAGGAGGCAGGAAATCTTAAACTCCTTCAAAAATGTTTCTCTCCAGAAACACACAGCAGTTTTTCCCTCATGCAGTATACTGCAGCATCAACAGGAGGCCTTCCCCTGGCTTTGGAGAGCCTCGAATCACCCTTTGTGAGAGTTCACAGATCTTTTTTCAGCTAAACTGGCAAACCTGAAAGCACTGAATACCTATGAGCGAATGTTCACATGTGCTGCACTTACTGGTGGGTGTCAGCTTCAGCATCTCCCCCAGGTGAATACAGTACTTGGGTTTGCCCACAGCCTCCTCCAGTGCTGCAGAACAGCTGCAGGGACTTCAAGCACAGGCAGAGAAACACTGGGAAGCTGTAAGAGGGAGGCCAAGCCAGTCTTTGGTTCTTGACCAGCATGAGGAGAGCTTGGGGAGCACGAGGTAGCTGTGCTGCACGAGCAGTTTACGATGAGGTGGATTTCACTGCAGCATTGTTGAGAGGCGCGAGATGTCAACCGGGAAGGGAATTCCCCTCCTGGTTGGAGTGGGTTGACAGGCAGCAGCTGCACAGGCTCGCTGGCCTCTCTGCCTCGGGGCCAGCAGCCTCTGAGAGCTCTGAGAGGCTGGATGCCACTTAGTGTCAGGGCGAGGACAGCGATGGGTCCCCGGCCACGAGAGAGCACAAACGGCTCTGCTCGGTCAGTGCAACAGGAAGAGTTTTTAGAAAGAGTGAGTTTGTGGTTGAGGACAAACTTGAGCTGAGATAACTCCTGTCTATTCTTGGCTCAGCAGCAGATTTGCTATGGCCACACTATTTGCCCTTTCTATGCCTCATTATCCCTGTCAAGCGGGTGACTCAAATTATAATTGCACAAATTCCTTCCAGTCTGTCATTACGTGCCTGCAGTCATCTCCAGGCAGCTACCTCCAGGGGAACCAGCCTCTCCCACCAGGGTACCTCTGTGCCACGTGTGCCTGCTCCCAAGGCAGTGGTAAGATTAGACCCCGTTGCCTTGTTGTTTTCCTACACAGAAAGAAACCTAAAGAAGAAAACATCCCCACTGCATCTCTAAATTAGCAGATCTGATTCTGAGTTGATTATTCAGGTCAAGGTTATGGGCGAGAAAGAGGCACTGAAACTTTTCATAGCACTGCCAATACTTGATTAAATGGGTGTTTCTTAATTTTTGTCTCAGGCTGGAGGTATTAGTACTATCACTAGCCTTAGGATCTTAGTCATGCTGATGCACCCTGTGTCTAATGGTACTTTCGGAAAATCAAAGGAAACAAGAAAGAGGAAAAATCTTCACTGTTTCCAAAAGCATCACCATTCTTTCATCAGAAATTTTCTTGGGTTCTAGTTGCAAGAGATTTCATGTTTCCTACATCTTTTCATATGAACTAAAGGCAATTATACACATTAAAGATTAGGCTAATGATTTTCTTTATAAATATATGCATCCACCTACTATGTTTTCCCAGGCAAAGCATGAAGTGAGACAATCATCCCACTTTCCAGTATTTCCATGGGTGAGTGCAGGCAGAGGCCATGCAGAGCTTGGCAGGCAATATGGCAGTGTTGGCTGCTTCTTCCAGGGGCCACCCCTGGGTGAAGCTGGTGGGAGGTTCATCCTGCTGTGTGCACCTTCAGGAGGAAGCAGAGAATTGCCACTAATGCCCTGTGGCCTGCAAAGCCCTCATGGCTGTCGGGGCTCGGTGTGGTTGACTGCTGTATAATTAACATGGAGCCTGGCTCATTAGGTGCTTTGTGGGTTCAGATCCACATCCATGAGAGCCCTATAGGAAAACATGTTCTTCCTAACACTTCTTTCATCCTCCCCCTCTGTTCCTTCCAGATGGTTACACCCACTTGTGTCTTTTCTTACCCTAAGGACAGTTTTTTAAACAAGGTTCCTGCATCCTTCTCCTCCCCCACACTGCTTTAGGATCTACATTGGAGTGCAGGAGGACAGAGCTGTTACACTCCATGCTGTTACATACAGCCTGCCCCTAGAAGATTGGAAGGGGACCACATCCCTCTGTCCCCTGTTTGTTAAGAAGAAAGATCTTTCTACATGCTCGAGATGTAGGAGGTGAAAGACTTTACCTCAGCCTCAGCTGGATATTCCAGATGTGCAAGATATGAGGTGTAATTGAACTTCTTATCTGTTTTCTGGGCAAGGAGAGATGGATACTTAAAGGACCTGTAACCTTTCTTCTGTGTAGCGCCAGTATACGCTCTCCCAGTAACACCCAGCGGGAGCACTTTCTGGATCAGTGACTGCTTAAAAAAAAAAATTACTTTCACAATTCTTTTTTTAAATAATCCCTCCATAGGACTCCTGCGCCTGGTCTCATATGGCAGCCCAGTTTTGTGGGAGCTGGGGGTGCTCCATTTCCTCCTCTGTTTTGTGCCGTTGTTAACTGTTCATCACTTGTTTGTTGACAGGGCCTGGTGCTGAGCAGACTTGGGCGGAGGGAACTGGCCCAGAAAGTCCTCAGAGATGCCATCCGTATCCAGACCACCAGCCACATTGCCTGGAACAGCCTTGGAGAGGTCTTGCAAGCTCAGGGGAAAAATGAAGCAGCCATCGAGTGCTTCCTTACTGCACTGGACCTTGAATCCACCAGTCCTGTCATTCCATTCACTGTCATACCCAGGGAGCTCTGAAGCTTTTCCCTGCAGCTAAGCACCTTCGTTCTGTGGACAGACACCAAAACCAATTAAATAAACAAAGAAAAAAGCCCAACAGAAAAGTGCCATTGTAACCTGGAACTGGGATGAGTAATTCCAGGATGGGGCTCAGGTCTACACGCTTAGCTGAGACAAGCTGAACTGTAGAAGAATTTGCAACACGCAGAAATAGAGAATGCCTTTTTCTTCACAGGTGCCTGGCTAACCTCCTGTTAAAGTTGGTACCAAGGCTTATTTCAAACTGTTGGTTTAAGGTGACTGTAAAAAGATCATGCTAGGATACAGCTGTTCAAAGCACTTGCACCTTCAGTGTTCATTAAAGATAAAACCCCAAGCCCTGAATTAAAGCCCAGACCTGCTCTAAATAGGAGTAAATGCACCAACTTATTTGACCAAGTTGTGCTTAAACATGTGGTTACCTCCCCACAGATCTGACAGGACAAGAATGACAATTGCACCAAATAGACATGCAGTATATGCTGTTTACAAAACTATTTCAGCTATTTTGATAATCCTTTTTCCTGCCTTGCTTTTATATACTGCATATGCTCACTATATTTAGTGTAGCACTTGCCTAGACCAATTTAAATTAAAAATACTTATTTTTTAGAAAAGCTAATATTGCAGTATAATTCACAAAAGCAGAAAGACCAAAGACCAAATAAGTTCACACTTGAACTAGTATTAAAAACATATATGTATCTCCACTTACATATTTATTGAAAGGCTTTACATGAAGTAGCTAATCATAAACTCTAAGATTCATTCTTATTAATCACCTCTTGCATCACTTTTAGAGAGGAATATAGTGTTTACCATTATATTGTGACTGAACTCTGTACTCTACTGTATTACTGTTCCTGGCACAGAACATTTTCATATCCATCTTTTCATGATACAAAAGATGGCAGCAGTCTTTTAAGGGAAATTATGCTGAAGGCAGTATGTGTATATATGAATTACTTCTTTCTTGAAACTAAATCTTTGGATTGTCCTTAGAAATTTCACATGAGAGGTATGGAGCTGAGCCTTCAGTGGAGCAGGATCATTTTGCGTATCGTATCAGATGTAAGAGTGAAGAGCTTTTAATCCGCACAGCCTCCCCATGGCTGGCACAGCCAGGGCAGGGGACACAGCTGGCAATACCCCCTGCTAAGCTGCTCCTTAGCATTGCTTGACCTCCCCGGGGCCTTGGCAGCAAGGTGGAGCTGTACCGTGCTGTCACACGACCCATGGGAGCCAGCCCTGTCCAGAACAGTCCAAAGATAAAGATGATGCAGAAATTTGCTGCAGGCACTTTTCTACAAAAAAAAAAAATAAATGTTGGGGCTCTGCTCCTATTTTCATACAAAGAAGATTTGTGACTATTTCATAAGTAAGTTTGCACTAAAACACACCTTGTATTATAATTCCTCCCAGTATTGTGATCCTTAACTAGCTCACTCTGGAAATAATAATATCCTTAGGCAATAAATGAATTGGGGTTATTTCTTAAAGAGCCTGAGGCTCTGGCAGCAGACTTGAAGTCAGCTTTGTTTACAGTTATATGGAAATCTGCAGGCTAATGGAGAGTTAGGCCCTCGCAGTGCTCCCAGACCACACCATGGCAGAGCTCCTGCCCCCAGCCCTCCCTCAAGATGCCCACACCAAGGGAAGTACACTGTTCTCAGGTTTCTCTCAGCAGCCCAGTGCAATGCCAGGCCAATATTTTTACTTTTTCCCATTAAATCATCCTGGTGCAATGGCCCAGATTATTTATCTATTCACCAAGGGATTCTAGGTCTGATCTAGGCTGATTTCAGTCCAGGTGAAAAGAGCCCAGCCATGAAAAGGTGCTCGGCCCATGAATTCTCTGGCTTTCCAGTGCCACCCAGGCACTAAAACTGATTTTTTTAGGCCAGAGGCAGGTTTCCAAGGAGACAGTGTTACCCGGTCGCATTTCTTGTTTGCAATAGCACCAGCAGCAGAGGAAGGAGTAGGTGTTAAAGTACCGGAATTAAATGAGTTTCATCAAGACAAAAAGACACAGCCGAGACCCATTTTGGTGTGAAGGATGCTATGAAGTCGGCTTGCTCTGCACTGCAGGTGGGAAAGAGGGAAGGGGAGGGGTAGAGATGCTGTTGTTGGCATAATATGTAAATTGTTACCCAGGTGTTTTAAACCCAGTTCCACAGTCAGATGCAATCTGACAATAGACTTAAGTAGAGACATATATAGATAGGTATTGTATTCTGGTATTTGTTCTGCTCCAAAGTTTCCAGGGTGGGAGCAAACCTTCTGTGTTAGACAGAAAAAAAGAGTCAGTGTGGTCCGACGTTGCCGCTCAGTTGTGCAATATATATTTGTAAAGCACTGCCATAGCAACTCCTGTGTGCTGGACAGCTATTTGAGTACAAGCTACATCCACCTCTATGACCAAGGAACTGCTTTAAGAGCTCTGTAACGTAGCTGGTCTGTGCCCTGGCAGGAGGGTGCCTGTTTCCCAGCAGCAGCTGAAAAGCAAACACTTATAGACCCATTTACTTCTGTATGCGTAGCTTGTAAACAGCCACCAGCCCATCGTGTTTGTTACTATCTGGCAAACTTCATCCTGGCAATAATCAGACTTGCCACAGCAGTCATCTTCCTAGGAGAGGGGCAAACATTCACAAATACTTTGAGTGTGTCAATAAGTCAGATGTTGCTAGGGTGGTCCCATCTTTCTCAAGTGCATTAACGAGTGTTACTGGCATTGGAATTGCAGTCCTAAGAGCCTCTGCTTCAGGAAGACATACATGAGTAAAGGCCATCAGCATCAACAGGAACCACCATGGGTAAGGTGGCCTTTACCAGCACACCACACCACAGCCCCTGCAGCATCTACAGACAAAGTGCTTTGCATGCATACTGGCCTCAATCCCGAGATCTGCTGCATGCTTCCCAGGGGATACAGAACACCTTGTTGGCTGGAGGGGTGTTGTGTTAGCCTGAAATGCTCTGTACAGTGCAGGAAAGAAAGTGGTTATTGCACACTTAAAAGTATTTTGGGGGCAAATCCTCTAGCCATCTTTGTTACTCATGCTTACCAAAACAGAAGCCCTCCCAAGCTTACATGCTGCCTCTCTTATTCAGCGTGGATTTTGCTCACACTTCCAGATACAGAAAAACAAAGACAACTATTTCAGACAAGCCTATATATTGTGATATTTATTTAGATAGCAACATTGATAAATCTGATAGAATTACTCATCTGAGCTCAGTAATACTTCTTTGTATGGCAGGAAGCCTGGCATGTTTAATACTCAGGGTTTGAAATCTAACAACATAAGATTTACATGCCATCCCTCATATGATTATTACAGTTCATAAGTAGTGGAAGTTTGGGGAATCAATTCCATGAGTTTGAGCACTGACTTGAGTCCAACAGTTTTCTCATTCATTAGTTTTGAAAGAGAGAGGTTAAAAAAACCACATCATTGCCTAAAGGATCAGGTTCCTCTTGTTCCACCACAAGGTTATTTTCCTTTTTGTTGGCAGGGTGCATACAAAAAAGAAAAATAATTACCTTCTATTTTCCTGTCGTGCAGTAAAGGAGTAGTATGTGCTGTTGCCTTTGGCCAACAAGAAGGATTGTGTATTGTAAAAAAAATTAATCTGCCTCCAGGATAACAGAAGGAGAAGCCCAATAGGCCAGGGAACAGCTCCCCTGTAAAGTGGAGCTTTACCCTGCGTACAGTGTCATTAGCTCCACTGGAGCAGTTGGTAGTTAGGAGCATTTCCTCCAGCTGAGGATCTGCCCACCCATGTATTCATTCCGTACAGGGAGTACGGAGCTGCAAACTCCTGCGCCACACAAGTACCCCAGTCCGTTTCTATTGGTAACACTTCATGCTTCTGATTATCACAATGCTTCAGAAGTGCTAATTATCTTTTCTTGGTAATGACTAATAAATCCAAACGGAGAACAGTCCTGGAGGGTGTTTACTTTAAAATTCACTGGCTGGGTACCAAAGCAGGCACAGCACTGGCTGCTGCAGTTTGAATCACAGTTATTTTATCCAAAAAACGTTTCATATTCAGAGAGTCTTGGTGAAGAATGAGTTTGGCTAGTTTGTATTTCGTTTTAATGACAGCAGAGTGGGAAACAAAAAAGACATCACTACCACGATCCTTTCTCAGCCAAACCAACAGAGGTTTGATAGTTGCAGTTCAGCCTTGGAGAGGAAGGCTTCCCAAAGCAACCACACTGCAGCAGTAATTGCCTCTGAAGGAATTGTATTACAGGCATATTTGACAATTATGCAGTGGGCATGTGTAGCTGAGACATCTTTCCCTCCTTTTTTGGCTAAGGGGAGCTGCTTTATACCCGAAGGGACAATTGCAATGCCCATCTGGGTGCCTCTCAGCACTACCCTGGTGCCATCTGCACAGTCATGTTCACCAACACCCCTTCGCTCACACTGGTCTGACTACTCTCAGACTGTTCCCTAAGCCTGGTTCCAGGCAACAGCCTCCCTACTGCTGAGCTGTTGTTCAGTGCTGCAGGATGTCAGTGCGTGGCCAGATAGAAAGTTATTTTCTTAGAAATGAGAAGCCAAATCATCCGTCAGACGGTGACGCTGGCAGGAGGGCAGGTAAACACTGACCCAGCAGTTGCCAAGATGGTTCCTCCAACTTCGCCTTTCATGAACTGGCTTGTGCCTTCAGCGCCAGCAAACCACGGCAGGTTCCCAAGTGACTGGATACTAAAAGATCCATCTGGTTTTCCCACAGAAATGCATGCCAGTCAGTAGCTAAAACCACTGATAGGGATGCAACACTGCACCGTTGCATAGCGGCCCACGATGATACAAATAAGAACCTCCCTGAGCTGGTGCACAGAGAGGTGCTCAGCTTTTGCACATAGAAAGCATGTCCTACATGCCACTCTAATGCTGTTAACGTGGGTGTCAGTGTCAGTTTTCCATGTAACTTAACTTTTTTTTGTCGTTATAAGATGCTTTCACCAGACAAATAAAATTGACCCTGTGGAAAACAAAAAATGCTGCTCATATTTCCTGCGAGTTTCAGGGCTTTTAATACATTCATGCCATGGATACTTCAAGTATTATGAAATGTCCAGTTGTTATATTAACTGGAACCTAGTGTGCCTAGCAAGTTACCAGTTGCAAAGGATATTTTGGCCTACACCCTGTAGTTCATGGGAAAAACGAGAGTGAGCATGCAAGCAGCGTGCTTTCAGAGAGGAACAGCGCCAGGAAAAAGGAGTAATGTAGCTTCAGATGTTTGGATTTATGGAGATTTAAGCAAGCATTGTGTTTTTCTTGTGCTTCTTCCAGTAAAAATAAACAAAGGTAGTGTGAGAAATTGTAACATTGAGGTAACATGCAAATACTATGCCATCAAGTTTAGGGACTCACCTTATTTTGGTGGCAATGCCATTAATCATCTTTTTGCTACAAACAGTTACTCCTTTGGTTATTTGGAAATAAAATGTCTCCATTCAAGAGCTTCCAGAGCATTCTTTGCATTTACACATTAATCTTTTGGGCAAGCTTCAAGAGGGCCTTCTTAAAAAGTCAGCTCCTTAGTTTCATACTCAAATGAGATTAAGGATGGAGTTTTTGAACAACATTTCTTCATAACTGTGGCTGCTTTGGTTTATGAGTGCATTCAGCATAACTCAAGCAGAACGAGGTTCGTCTGCGGCAGTAACAGAATTAAGTGTCCTTCAGCTGTTTGTACAGTCTTAAAAATTGGAAATTCAAGCGAACAAAATACTTAGCTCTGACTCTACCCCCGCCTTTTTCTAACTTTTTCACAGAGAGGAAGTGAAACACTGCTGTGGGGGATGGATGGAGGAGGCTTCCATGGCCCCTCCAAGCAGGAGCCCAGCTGGAGGCGTGCACCTGAACCCCAGCAAAAGTTTGAGAATTTCATTGTTCAGTCCCCTGAGGGGAACTGTTATTGTCTGTTATCCTCTCTGCATCACACAGATGTTTAATATTCCCTTTCTTTTTAAATAAGCCTTTTCACCCTCATTTTTGCTGGAAGGAGCTCTGGCTGGTTTGGGAACTCCACCTTTAATACAGAATCACTTCTTCCCATGCAGAGAGCCAAGTGGTAATTTTGACATGAAACTCTTGAAAGGTCATTAAGAATAATTTAATAATTTTTAATAATTTATTTTATATATTATATAATTTTTAATAATTTATTCATCACTCCAGTTCTTTCTGCTGCAGAATGGGTAAAACCAACTCAGATATTCCTGCTTCATGTGAGGTCCAGATATTTAGCAGTTCCTTACATTTAGCAGTCCCATAAACTTCCCAAAGGAAGAGATGAGAAGCATCGCTGCTGCCCAGATGCTCACTTCCATGACAGTCTCTGGCTATCAGATTTTTGTGGAGTCACCAAAGCAGCAGTGTTTACTTTGTTTGTCTTTAACCACATCCCTCAGGAGGTGTCACATCCCAATCAGACATGCCTGAACCAGTCCTTGGAACAAAGGAAAACTGTACACATAACCTCCTGCTCTTTAAAGACTGCTGTTAGAGGAAGTAAACCTGCATAACACTGGTTTATTCTGTTGTCTTTAGCAGTCACCATAGCATTTAAATGAGCTGTGGCTGTCAAGCCAGTTTCCTCTGCTATGTTGTCTCCAAAGCAAAGAGCAACGTCTTACAGCCAAAACCATCTCCGCAGATCCACCGACTGAACAGCAAGATTCAGTGGTTTTCTCAGTGCTCCAACTGCAGTAAGTGTTTAATAACGAGGAAAAAAACCCTGCAGGTCATTGCCCTGAATATCAGATCTGCCACTTTCAAGCCTGATCCCATCTAAAACTGATGTAGCCACTGTGATATCCGGCTGATGGAGGAGGAGAAGCAGGTGGACAGGACATCTGAATTTTATACAGTAAAAATGGCAAGCATTGTAACATGGCCTAAAACAGCAAGAGAGCAATGAAAACTGTAAAACAGGAAACATTTGCCTTACTGCAAAGCTCTCACAGAGGCAGCTTCACCAGCTTTTCTGACAGAAACGTGCAAAAACACCCCTCTGTGAGGGAGCAGATGTCAAGGAGCCCCTCCCCAGCCTCCTGGCTGCAAAGGCCTCTCTGAACCTCTACCCTGCACCAGAGATCCAGAGTCCAGCCTGAAGCACAGAACCTGGACCCTTCCACAGCGTGCTTAGGGCAGATGCCAGTCCTGTGCCTCTCAAAGGACAGAATGGTCCTCAAAGCAAAAGCTTCATTACATTATGCATGGCAAGCCAAAACATCTTTTTTATAATGCAGATGTTTATGATATTGTAATTAGGCCCGGAAATGGGGATGTTTGTAAATGAACCAGCAGTAAGTGTCCCTGTATTTTGTTATCCCATGAGAGGGGATGACACACACAGCCCGAGTTTGCAATGCCAGGTACTGTTTCAGAAGGATGGGAGTTCAAGGATATAACCATTTTCTGGTCAGTGGAGGTTAGAGGTGATTTTGTGCTCAGTGTAAATGGCATTGTCTGGCAGAGACAATTAGCAAATGAAGCGCTGCCTCGCGAGAAGCTTTGCAGCCTCCGAGTCTCTTCTTCTAGGCTGACAACAAACAGAAATTTGAGATGGTATCTCGGGTTTCCAAAACAGGAAGCTGCTAAATCCAGCAAGAGAGCAATTAATTTCCTACTTATAATGATGCTGCTCTTATATCTCCTTTGAGGATACTGAAGTGTTTTTCAAAGCTTAGCAAGGGAGGTATTTCGTCCCCATTTTTCACCAGATGAAAAACCAACTCAGCCAGGAGTGGAGCCAAGGGAGAGGTGTTTTTCTGTGCAGAACAGGCTACTTCACTGTGTCTCGGGTTCTGTTCCTTTCTGCAGTGTCCCTCCCACCCCCGACTACCATGGCCCCGTCACAGCATGGCACGGTCCTCCTTCAAACCCCTTTTTCTCTCAGGTCTTTTCTGTGGAGGGGGAGTTAATGGAAGTTTCCACTCAATTGTTATATAAATGCAGTATAAATGACTTCTCTAAATCATCAGAGTGGCCCCTATTAGACACATGTTGTTGCAATTACCAGGTGCAGAAATATACAGCTACCTCTGTACAAGTGGTCCAGGTCTGGCCTTGGAGTTCTGCTGTGCCAAGGGGATGACTTATCACAATCAAAGCTTTTTTTTTTTTCTGTTTTCCCATTGTCCCCTCTTGAGTACTTGCAAATATCATGTTCTGTTCAGTCAGCTAACAGGGAAGTTGAAAGAAAAATTTGTTTCAAGCTACATTCCAAAGAAAAACTTCAGAGATTTTCAACTAAATAAAGAGCTTTAAAAAACCCCTCCAATTAAACAAAATATTGTTCTGACAGGACTCCTCAAGTAGTATCTTCAGTAACTTAAATTTATATGACCAGAAGTTTTGAGAGAATTGCCAGAAGGGAGAGCATTTGAAACAAAAATTCAAGATGTTTAATCCTGAAACAATCAACACAAACCATTTAAATTTTCCTTTCTGTCTTTCAGCCAAGAACTATTCATCAAAGTTATCTCAAGTTTATATGTGGCTTCAGTTTTCTGGAACATTACTTTTCAGCAAATACCATACTTCTAAGAGTTCAGAAGTGTTTTCCAGTTCCACTTTTTGTTCCCCTACGTGGGTAATGCTGAAGTTCCTGGTGTGAAAGCGTTCTCAAGTACTTCTGCACAACATTACCAAACATCACAACCACAGTCCAGCAAGCACAGGTTGTTTCCTGGAGATTAGTACCAACTGCTGAGTAAACATCAGCGTACGCTGCTCTGCACACCTCCACACACTCAAGGTGGGATTGTCCCCGCTGAAATAAACAGCGATCAGTCCCGAGCAGTTTTGGAAATCCCACTTATGTACACATCTGCAATTACTGAGCTGACTGCAAGCTGGGCTGAGCACCTCACACAAACCGTTGTTGGAGTTTCATACACAGACATTTTTGTGTGTGCCTGCTACCACCTCAACAGTCTCTTGGTCACTACCCACTGCTCAGCAGCAGCTTCCAACAGAACTTCTCAGCTTTGTGTGATCCCTAGGAATTTTCCATGGGATGTCTGCATCTCTAAGATCCACTAACACAAATTTCTGGGTAGGATATAACCTTTCCACAAAGGACATGTTCAGGGTCTTGTATTAGTTGGCCACAGACACCCCCGAGATCTCTAGCTCACGGCCTGAAGACTGGGGACTTAGAAGTTTTCTCTGAGATTCTATTAGAGCTTCTTAATTAAAAGACCTCTTTGGGGACCTGAATTGAATTGGAAACCATGGTGATCACTTAGGTCAATCATGCACAGAGATGATTGCATTTGGAGGAGCGAGGTGGAAGATGGGAATTGTGTGCATGTTGAAGAGCTTTAAGAAAAAAAAAAAAAGTGAAACCTATGTAAAAACAAGGAGCATGCATGATTTTCAATAGAGCAGTTGGAGGATTTACCATATACAGCTCACCATTCACTACTGAATTAGAGGCAAACAGTTTGTCTTACTGAGTTGAAAAATGTCTTCAGTTTTTATCTCTCTGAACATTTGACCAATGGATTTGGCAGTCTGTCCACTTTCTCAAATGTGAGTGTGCACATTTTCACTCATGTTAATAACTATACCAGGAAAACCAAAATGCTGTGCTCCCGGTCATCCCACATGACAGAAACATGTTACCAAGCTACTATGAAAACAAAAATGTTCATCCACATACACTGGGTCCCATAACTTGATTATGCAAAACCTAAAATATAAAGAGATGCTCAGTATCCAGCATTTTTGTTCAAGAGTTGAATTTCACTTTCATATTTAGAAGACTCATTTGTGACCAGATAATGCTGATAGGATTATCAGTTATATCAGTTAAAACATAACTAAAACAAAGTTACGCTTTTGTTTCAACTTAAAAATCATTGTAATCTAGCTCTAGGATAATGAAGGTGCTTTCAAAATCAGAGCTGTTTTGGTTTCACTGGAAAGAACAGCTCTAAAATCCATTGCCTTTTCTTACAGAAAAGGACGACATACCACTAACTGACTTTAGCATCATCTTCTCCTCCCTTCGCTCTTATAGGAGAAAAACCTAAATAGTGACAAGGGATGTTCTTCTTGTAAGTCTCCGCCAGAAATATGTAACCTTGCTTCATTTGTCTTTGTAAATTACTGTGTTCAGATCAGAAGCTTTTGCAGACTCGACACTTCAGTTGTTCAGCCCTTGTTTGTGTTGCTCTTGAGAAATCTTACAGCCCCAATACACAGGGTTAACCTCTATAACCTCCAGCAATAAATAAGACTGTTCATGTAATTCATAGGAGACTGGAGTCTGTTGATCCATAACCTATCTGCATTAGCAGTCTCTTACAAGCTGCTTCTTTTTCTAAATGGAAGTGAAACACCAGAGCACCAAGGTTGCAGGAGTTCAGATCTTCCTCATTCCATTGATTCCTCCACTGCCACCTTCCAGTTCTATTTCCTTTACAGACAGTATCTGCTATGCCCTCCCTACCCACCCTCCTTCCCCTGCTGGCAACCATTCCATGCTTAATCCAGAATGCAA